GCTCTTCCCCATTATTTTCAAACACATGCCCCTCCCCAAACCATCTGGAAATGTGTTCTAGCCAGTCTATGAATACAAAAATTTTTCCCCATCTTTTTATTTATTTATTTATTGAAGTAACGGAGCTTGAACTCAATTCAGGGCCTACATCTTGAACCACTCCACCAGCCCTATTTTTGTGAAGGGTTTCTTTCGAGAGAGGATCTCGCAGAACTATTTGCTCAGGCTGGCTTTGAACCATGATCCTCCTGACCTCTGCCTACTGAGTAGCTAGTATTACAGGCCTGAGCTACCAGCATCTGGCTCATCTTTTTATTTTGAAAAATGTCAAACATATAGAAAAGTTAAAAGACTAGTAAATGAACTTAGTGTCCTCCACCTAGATTCAATGACTGTTAACATTTTGTCACATTTTCATTTGATGTATGTCACACATTCACACATTCATGTATATGTGTGTGTATATGAGTTTTATAAATTTTATGTAATTTTTGACCAAATCATTTGAAGGTAAGTTACAACTGTTATGGCACAGTGCCCCTGCCCCCCAATTTTTATAGCCTTATTTTTTAGGAGCCAGTCAAGATTTACCCACTGCATTTGATTATTATGTCTTTTTGTCTCTTGATACAGAACTGTCCTCTATCTTTTTAATGACATTAGGCTTTTGAGGAATTTAAGGCAGTTTCTTATAGAATGTCCCACATTCTGGATCTGTGATTCTTCCCTCAAGGTCATTCTACTTCTTCCTCTATGCCTCTATTTCCTGTAAACTGGAATTTAAGTCAAAATGCTTGATTATATTTAAGTCAAGGATTTTGGGCAAGTTTCCTTCATAGGTGATACTGTTACTTCCTACAGCATCAAATTAACAGGCGTATAAAGTCGGGTTGTTCCACAACTGTGGTGCTAATTTTGATCATTGGGTTAAGTCTGTGACTGATGAATTTCTTCATAGTATGGTTATCTTGCCCACTGTAATTATTAAGTAAACTGTGGTGTAATGATACTTTGAATCTATGTGATTCTCTGACCCTATGTAAACATCCTCCTCTTCCCTACTTCTTTTCACCAGATGAGTTTCAGCTTCTATTGATGATCCTTGCCTGAATCACTGGGGATTACAAATGGTGACTTTTCCAATTATATCACTCCATCTGCATTTATTGGCTGCATTTATTTTCTTCTAAAAAGAAAAACTTCCTTCCCCTACATTTTGATTATCACTTTGGACTTCTAGGTTTAAAAACCATATTCAATGCTTTAACTATCTATTACAGTTATTACTCTTTTTACTGGCCAAATTGACTTATCTTTGGCCAATGGAGTCCTGTAAAGCTGGCTTTGTGTGATTTTGAATTGACCCAATTAGTTTTGGGGTATTTCTTTGCTTCCTGGAAAGGTGTTCCAGGCCCAACTTTGTACTTACTGGGTCTGAGATCCCAAACCACCCATTTCTCTAGGAAATGCCATTTCCTAAATGGTATTTAGATATTAATATATGAGTACCTATAATGGTGAGACATTACCTCTAAGAAACACATATGAAAAATTTTAATTCACATTTAACATCAAAGGGGCTTCCCTCATGATTTGTTTCTTTTATTGTGGTTTATTGTGGTGCTGGGGACCAAACCAAAGGTCTTGTGCATGCTGGGCAAGCACACTCTACCGCTTACCTACATCCCCGGTCCATCCATCTATTTTTTCTATTTGTGTTTCTTTCCTCACAGAGTTTCTACCAACATAAATACATTTATTATTTCTTCTGTCTATAGTTTCAAAATTACTTTGCCAATAGTATTACTAGCAATACACTTGTAATGTTTGACTGTTTTGCTTGCTAGGTTCTTTATGTTCTCCAAATATTTACCACAAAAACGGAAAGTCAGAGTGCAAGTTGAGCATCCCTAATCTGAAAAATCCAAAACCTCCAAAATCCGAAACTTTTTGAGTGCAAATATGATATCACAAGTGGAAAATTATACACTTGACTTCATGTGAGAGGCTGCAGTCAAAATACAGGTACACTAGAAATAGTACATAAAATTACCTTCAGGCTATGTGTATAAGGTATATATAAAACAAATGAATTTCATGGTTAGACCTGCATCCCATCCTCAAAATATTTCATTATGTATTTGAAAATATTCCAAAAATTAAAAAAATTAGATATTCAAAGTACTTCTGGTCCCAAACATTTAAGAAAGAGGATACATACCCTGAATAGGTCTAAACAACTTTGACCTTTGTGATCTTTGTAAAGCTTTAAGTTATAATCATTTTTAAACTGATGAAATCCCTGTTTTAAGTGACATGCTTTCTATTCTTTAATGTTCAGTCTTCTGTCTTTAGTGATACAGATAAAACAGAATAGCTGAAAATATATATCCTAAGACTAGCAAGGCAACACAAACTTAAGTGGATAGGTTCAACTCATGATTATCTGAGCACCACACTGGCCAACATCCACTAAGGTTCTTTTCCCATCAACCTTGAATGGATGATGCCATATAAGCATCACCCTAGAATATGTGTTCAATGCACTGTAGCCAAAACCACTCAAACACAAAAAAGCAAGTAGCTTAGCCTGCAGCAAATCTCTATGCAAACATTCGAAATACTTCCATGACTAAAGAAAACAAACAGCATAAGCAATTATGACTACAAGCACATCTCTGATTCATCACCTTAGTCATCTGTTAATAGGAAAAAATATGGGCAAATCTGGGGCTACTTTTACTCTGGAAAAGGATAAAATAAAAGCTAAAGAATGTAGTTTCCCATTTGATCAACATGTATTAGTTTACTGCACGCTCTTTGCTCTGCAGTGGTTTGTCCCATTTCCAAAGGCAGCTATAGTTTAATTTTCTTTAGACATATAGCTGTCTATTCTGATGACAATTCGGAGACTTTATATTTTATTTACTTGCTGGGTTTCAGTAGAAATAAATTACAGTTTTAAAGAACTAGCAGTTTGGATACTGCTTTTTTTAAAACTATTTTTTATTAGCATACATTAATAATACAAGGGGGGTGTCACTGTGATAATTCCTTAGATGTGCACAGTGTACTTTGAACAAATTTACCCCCTCTATTACATTTCCTTATTTCTCCTCCCTTCTGCCTTTTTCATTATGGGTCTCATTATTTATATACATATATATAGGTATTTCTCTGTGAGAATTAAAATTCATAAAGCTTCGCTTTATAAATCCGCAGTACTAACATGGACAGATTAAAAACAACACTGAAAGCAAAAACCATCAGGATGGCACAGAAAGTCATACTGGAATTTATAATAAATATGTCCCTATATTCTGATCTAGGTTTGGGAAAAGCTCTCAACTGGGAGATTTTTACACAACTGTAAAGAAAGATCTTCCTGACATCAGCTCTTAAAGTACACAATTAGAATAAGAGCAGTTGTCAAAAAACTACCATTTATTTTAAAATAAATTAATATTTTATTTCCAATTTGTCTTCTCTCTTAATTCTAGTTACACACTGCTGCCCTCTGCAGCATCTTCAATTCTTGCACGTTGCTTTCCAACCCAGTCGCTTGCACAAACCTGACCTAGTTTCTGTCTCTCCAGTTTTTGTGACTATTAAGGCTACGTGTATGTAGAGAAGGAGAGGGAGGGCTCTTTCAAAAGAAAGGAAAGATCTAGAGAGCAAGATGTCACAGTTCAAAATAGACCATCTGAGAGGACGGCCTTTTTATGAGTCCAACAGATCCCAATCCTCCATGGAAGGTTTCTTCCTGACATTTATATAGTCTTTGTGTTTCAGGTCTGTTTTCTTCTTAAATTGAAATAAAATTATATACATATAGTGAAGAAGGGGGAAGAGGAAAAGGGGTTAACAGTAAAAAGGGTAATCACTGAAAACATTTGGCCTCCATTTCAAGACTCAGGTTTGTGCATCTGTCTAGAACTCGTACCCAATGTGTTACTACAAACATACACAAATGAATACTTTTTCTTAACATGAATGGTAGCATTCACACCAGCCTATCATTCAAAACTATAGCTTGACACTTCAAGGGAAGTGGTGAGTCAGAAAGGCTATTTGAAGTATCACTTAGTCAAAGCTTATACTTGCTCCAGTTTTGTCTTCAACACCACATAGAATTGTGAAAACTAAAAGAATATCTGTATTTTTTTTTAAGGGCTGGGGGCGTGGCTCAAGTGGTAAAGAGCCTGCCTCTATCTCGTTCCCTGTTACAGATTAACCAATTAACTTAATTAAGAACAGATTTTAACAAATAGATTTTAAATAAATCAACCTCTTCTCTAATAGTTTCTGCCATACTCTAATTAGCTTTCTTTTGCGAGTAAGGCAAGGTTCTCAAAACTGAGCAGACATAGGTATCACCTGCAAAGCTTGTTGAAACAGATTGCTGTTTCCCCTCGCCCCCTGCACTTGATTTTCTGGATTCAGGTGGCCTGGGTCGGGGCTTAAGAATTTGCATTTCCGATAAATTCCTAGATTATGCTGATGCTGCGGATTCCAGGAGCTAGTTTAAGAAGGCACACGCGTATACTCCCCTGGGAAGCTCAGGGACTGCTAGATAGCACCCACTGCAAAAGAATTATCTGAAGCTACCTGCTCCGAGCCGGAACTGAGGTTAGAAGTACCTACACCCTGAGTCCGGCGCAACCTAACCACGCCACTTCCTCCTATTAGGCCCCGCTTACTACATTTCCTTAACTTCAAGGCGGATGGCTTGGAGGGCGTCAGGAATCACGTGAATCGAGCGACGTTCGCGAGAGTTCGTATATCTCGCGAGACTTCATTTGCCTTGTCTTTTCCTCCTTCCTGCGCCCGGCTTTCCTCCCTTCCCCCCTCATCGTCGACCGAGTTATTCCTTTTTAGACCGAGTCGCCTTGTTGCTGTCGCGGAGATTTTTTCCTACTGTTGCTGCCCTTCTCTGCCACCGCTCTTTTGCCCCGACCCCTTCCCGCCGCCCCACCCCCAACCCCACACAAGGTAAGAAACACCGGGAGGGAGGGCGAGGCCTCGCCGGGCCTCGGTGTCTCCGGCGTTGAAGCGGAGGCCCGAGGCCCAGGAGCCAGCCTCCAGCAGAGGTCTGGGCGCGGGCAGTGGGATTAGGAGTTCCTGAGCCTCTCCCACCCAGAATTGTGCCGGGAGCGGCCCGTCCTACGGGCCGTGGCGGCGAAGGCGGCCAAGGTGGGGAACCCGTCGGGTGGGGCTGGGGCGCCGCGCGCTCCCGGGAGAGCCTCGGTGAGGATGCGGGGACCCAGCGGACCCCTTGCAGCCCGGTGTTTGAGTTTCCAGGTCTGAAACGATCCACAACATCATGGCGGGCTTTGGGGTGTAGGGTCCCTGGGAGGAGAGCCCATGCTTGCGTGAGTCCTTTGGAGTCTCCAGATCCCAGGCTTTCGGTGGACGAGAATTTAAGAACGAGAAGATCCTAGGAGGCCCCGTGTGTTTGCTTCCAAATCCATCAAGAAAGGGTTAACTCGTGTCTCAATTTCAGGAAAATGAGTGAGCTGGAATACCTACACGTGAGAGTGTTTGTGGTGTTTAAGAAAATGCATCTGCAACTGTGTAGTGAACTGGGTGAAAGATTTTGGCTCTGGAAAAGAACTTCTAACATAGACTTTTTAGTTGAGTAGTTCACGTAGGGCGAGCAATTTGTGTAAAGGAAAATTTTTATCTGAATTAATAAGTGTTTTTCATGCTTAAAATGTTCTTCCACGGATTTGACTCTTCTAACAAGTGTTAGTTAGTGTTTTGGTTTTTTTTTTTTTTTAATAAAAGGCTTACCCTTGATTATTGAGCCACGCATTGCCTTTCCTGTAATAGGAATTAGAAGAAAATACATTTTTTTCTCTCTTAACTCATGCTTTTTTTTTTTTTTTAAATACGGAATTTCTGTGACATGCTTGTAATCTTCAGAATCTGCTGCCTTGAAATTTGTGGTTTAGCTTAGTCTGAAGTAAGTAAAAATAGTGAATGAAGTAAGAGTAAAAATAATGGTGGTTAATTCATTCGTAATGTTGAGTTAGGAGCAAACTGTTTTATTCAAGCTGGCTAGGAAAATATTTGTATGGTTTGATATTTGATCCAGTTTTCAAAGTCTTACCATTTTCCCCAGATGTCAGAGGATCTAGCAAAGCAGCTGGCCAGCTACAAAGCTCAGCTCCAGCAAGTAGAAGCTGCACTATCTGGAAATGGAGAAAATGAAGATTTGCTAAAATTGAAGAAAGATTTACAAGTAAGTGTGGGTGGACTTTGTTGTAAGTAACATTGCTTGAAAAGATTAGTTCTGTGTTTCTAAAATTTGTTTAGAGTCCATAGGTAACTCAAAGCACTCTTGGAAGAGGGTCTCCTCACCCTATACATGAATATGGACAGAGGCATTGAGTCTTCTAGAGAACTAGGGGTGGTTCCTCAATTTGCATACATCCAAATGAATGAAATGGTTCTCAGTTATGTAAATTTTGTGTGTGCTCATAGGGTTTGAAAAAATGATTTTGAAAGTCAGACTTTCAAGAGAAGAAACTTTGCAATGGAATGTGCTTTTATTGAAACTTAGTTCAAACGGTAACTAAGATTAAAGAGTATAACCTAATCGAGATTCTTTGACGGTGAAATACGGCCTTTTTGTTTATGAAAGCTAGTGGGTTACACCTTAGATTAAAAACACATCTTAAAAATATTTAAAGAGATATACATATGTTCTTTATAAAAGTATTTGCACTTATGAGTAGATTTTAACAGTGTAGTTATTGACTCTTGTTGAATTGTGGTGAAAAGGAGATCTTAATTTATTTGTAATGGGAGAGTTCAGTAAGTATGAAACTTTTCAAATCCTACACTGGGTTTTGAAGACAAACATAAAGCCATGATAATATCTCTTGTTTCTCAGGACACCAGGTTAAGAAAAATACCATATATAATTTGTAAATACCATATATAAGTTTTTATCTTAACGTCTTAAAATTTTGAACCTGAATTTTAAGTTTTCAGAATGTTTTGATTAGATGATCTTTACTGTACTAAATCTGTATTCTACCTAACCAGTTGTCCCTTTATTATCCTGTTGCCCATTAAAACTATTACATTTTAGGGATTTTTACATTTGCAAACAAGTGAAACATCTGAAAGGGTTTCCAGTTTTATTAAAATGAGTTGGGTATTTTCAAATTCAGATTCTAGATTTAGAATAAAAGTTTCAATAGTGTGTTACTTTTTAAAACACAAACTATCTGGAATAATTTCACTTTGAACAGGACCATTTTTCAATCTGTAGAAGCCAGGCCTGTGGATTTTAGGGTACCAGTCAGTAAGACAAAGATGTTTAGGGAACAATTTCTTGCATTCCCAGGACCTTCTATAAAAAATAACTTGGGTTTTTTTTTTTTTTTTTTTTTTGCCCCTTGTTCATTCATTTGATAGGTTCACATGTTCTTTGAATGTGCTTTGAAGATGAGGTGGCAAAGTCAAACTAGCCTCTTGTGTACTTATAGTACAAGGTTTTTTCTTGCCTCAGAGAGAGGATCCATCTACTTTTACTAACTTAGAAGCATTCCTTTTTTTTCTTTGAAGAAAACATGTGCCAATGTTTTATACTATATATTGCTTCCTGAGCAGTGGAAGGAGAGGTACATGTGGAACTAGTAGAGGGAGTTGGGAATAGTGTTCAAAACAGCATTATTAGCAAGTTTAAAAAAAAATTTGTAGAATAAATTATCTTTAGGCTATGATCATAACTGTCTTAATATGACATGATTTATAGTGGGAAGTACTGAATGAAGAAATCATTGCGATAGGTAATGTAGTAAGAAGTTAAAAGACTTAGGGTACATTAATAATGACCAGGGAGTCTTTTATCTATAAAATATCCTCTTTTCTATAAACATTTAGGATTTTTCCCCAGTACTGGGGCCTGAACTCAGGGCCTTGTACCTGTAGGCGCTTCACCACACGAGCCATGGCCATAACCATTCAGAGCAGTGCTGGCCGATAGGACTTTGGTGACAATGTGTATGTTCTGCATCTGCTGTTCAGTGTCGTAACTGCTGGCCCCATGTGTGGGTTAACTATTTGAAATTGAGTGAGTGAGGAGCTAGATTGTTGGTGTTACTCAGGAACATGTGACTGCATACTAGATTGTACAGATTTAGAAACTTAAGTGCTGATACCTCACATAGTGGTAACACACAATGTGTTGCCTGACCAGTCTTGACCAGTTTCTTTCTCTTATTCCATTGTGAGGAAAAAAGTTTGATTTTTGGTTTTGAACTGAAAGCTACTCAAAGATGGAAAGCATCCTTTTTTTTTTTTTTTTTAAAGTAAAAGTCATAGCAAAGTTTATTAGGAAAGGAGTACACTTTGAATAAACTGGAGCAGGTTGTCTCTTAGAATGAGAACAACCAAAAACATCTTGTAAAATTCTGTTTGGTAAAATTAGTTTTTGAATATTTGCTTCTTGTACTTAGTAATTGTCTCCACAGAGAGTAATTACACTTCTGTTTTACTGTGGAGCCCTCTCCCTTTTTCTTTTTCTTATTTGCTCTTTGGGATGTATGTATCTTATGCCACTAGTGTTTAATTCTGCCCTTACATTTGATGACGTCTTCTCAGATTGTTAAGTGTGTGGCTTCTTTTCATTTTTTGGATCGTCATATGGTTTCTAATTTCTTGTGTTCCTCCTTTGGAAACATATTACTATCCTGGTTATTAATTTGTTTGCCCTTTGATTTACGACAAAATTCTCTGAATTTTTTTCAGTGACTTCTAATTTTCCCGTAAGATTTCTAGTATTATTTCTTTTATGTATTACTTTTCATATAGAATAATGTTACTCAGCAGGCAGCATATCAGTCTACTGAAGTTCTAACTGCCTTTTTTTTTTTTTTTTAACTTGAAAGAAAAATTGGGTATAGTAAAAATCCAGGCCAGCTAGCTGATTAGTTCCCCAGGCAGTCTATGATACGCACAAAAATAGTCAATTTATTAGACTGTTTTGCTGAATAAACTGGTTTTAAAGGAGGCAGGGGTCAAGTCACTTGTCTCATATATTACAGTGGCTCTCTGCATCCCCGAAACGCCTTCCTTCAGTAAGCAGAGTGCTTGAGTGCACCCCCTTTGACCTGCTGATATGTAGATCACAACACCTGATGCTTCCTGGAATTGCCGATTACTATAACTGCTGCCCATCTGTCAATGAAGGAGCAGTTTCAGAGCTCAGACTTGGGGGAGGAAAAGTAATTAATGGTATGTACCTTCAAGAACCCCCTCATACATACAATAGTTTTTCTAATAATTTGGTCCATGTGCACATGTGAAGAAAAAGAAAAATTTAGAAGGTTCTTCATAAATTGTTGGGAGGGGTGCATAAAAACCATGGCAAAGTTACAGGACATTAGAGTTAAATGCTCTGGATTTTGTTTTTTATAGAAAAGGTCAATCAGCACAGGGCTCTGACAATTCTTTAAATATGCACAACTTTTCAGTACCCTTTTCGTTGATGAAAATGCTTCCTTACAAATATAGTGGGAAAATGTTTGTCTTAAAAAAAAGAGTTCTAAATCTGAGACCTACAAATACAGAATTCATGCTTGTGCCTTAGGAGGTCCAGTGATCACTAGAAGGGATCCCTGGGTGGATGTGGAAGTATTCAATGATGAGGATTTTGTAGGCTCTTTGAGTCAGGCTAGTTTATTACATTCCTGGCTATCAAGATGGTTAACTTAAAACTGGATAATTTAACTCTCATTTTTGTATACTATATTATTTAAAACCCCTTTGCTTTATTTGCGAAGGACTATCTAATTAAAAGATATTTGAGGGCTGTGGCGATATAACTTGGTAGTAGAACACTTGCATGCACAAAGCCCTTTTATTAATTTACTAATTAAATCATGTTCTACCTCAAGGGACTATGAAAAAAATCATTTGCTACTTGGCAAATAATAAAACTTAAGCAGTATTACTCTACTGAAAAAAAAATTGTTTTTGACAGTACTAGGGTTTTAAATCAGTGACTTGGTGCTTGCTAGGCAAGTATTCTACCACTTGAGCAATTCCTCCAGCCCTTTTGCTTTGCTTTAGGTTATTTTTCAGAGAGGGTCTCAAAGTGTTCCACGGCCAGCCTCTGACTGTGATCCTCCTGATCGCTGCTTCCCATGCAACACAGCTGCTGTACTGAATTTTTAACTTATATGAATCTTTCAGTTTTTTATTCATAAAAAACTGACCTTTCTCCAAGTGCTTAATTTTCTTTTGTTTTTATTTTTATTTTTTTGTTAAAGGCCCAAATATTAGTTTTTCAGAAAAAGCCAGGAAGATTTAGAATCTTTAAAACAGGGTTAATATTTAACTTTCTTGGTTACTTAACCAGAATAATTGTTATGAAACCTCAGTTGGAGCCACAAGAAACTGAGTTTAATTTTTGCCAATATTTCTCCCCAAACATACAGTGATGTTTTAAATACAGTAGTGTGGGAGAACAGATCTGAGGATTCTTAAAAATAAATCAGATAAGGTGATTTAAAGTATGGATCTTAAGTAGAGTAACAATACAGCAGATAGGTAGCAGAATCTGTTAATTTCTGCCATTTCTCAAGTTTTTTAACCACCCCCCCACACACCTTTAAGTGGAACCAATAAATGTTACGCCTGAAGTAGAAAAAACACCTGCCACACAGGCATTGCCTCTGTGTGTGTTACTTTTATTTTTTTCTTTTAAATGTAGCTGTGTTAATGTGCTTAATAAATATTAAGGTATAGAATATTTTAAATACAACTTGTTAATTTGGTGGGGTTTATAATAAAAGACTAGGAAGACTACTGATTTGTTTTATATGTGCCATCAGTATTTTAGCAGAAATATGTATAAGTAGGAACATGTGTTTACTTAATATGGCTACTTGAAGTGTTCTGGGGACTTGGGAAACTGTTTTTTGACTAGATAATATTACTACTAAGTAATGCCCTATAAAACATTACAGTTGCATGAAATAACACGTGACAATAAGATTAAAAGGGATCTTGACTCAATTCAAAGCATCATACTTTATTTCTCATCTTTAGAGTGATCTATATTCAGCTAAAATAGGCACTTACAAGTAATGCAAGGTATAAGCCTAAGTCTTTTATTTTTATTAGTTGTGGTTAAGTTGAAGGTATCTATAGAAGCTCAAATCATAGATCCACTGCTTACTAATATAAAATGCTTTATCTTAGTTTCTACATGTGGACAATCACTGTATCCTCTTTTACAAACTACACATAAGTACCTATAGGGTACTTAATAAGTGCTAGAGTTCTTAATAAAATACATGTAGAGTACATAATAAGTGTGAGAATTATCAAAAACTAAAAGAAAGACTGGGATATCGCTCAGTGATAGAGTGCTTGCCTATCATGCAAGGTCCTGGGATCAATCCCCAGTGCCAGGGCAAAACAAAAAAGTGAAAGAACGCAGTTGACAATGTGAATTATAAAAAATATTACTGTTTTTGCTCTTTTTTAGGAAGTTATAGAACTAACCAAAGACCTTCTGTCAACTCAACCTTCAGAAACTCTTGCAAGTTCAGACAGTTTTGCCTCTACTCAGCCCACTCATTCATGGAAAGTAGGAGACAAGTGTATGGCAATCTGGAGTGAAGATGGACAGTAAGTGTAGAAAACTAACTATAACATGCAATAATAAAATACAATGGTAAGATGTTTTCATTCAGTTTGAACTACCCTATTTTAATCTTTCTGTACAAGCAATGTGATTTCTAGAGCCAGTTTAAATTTTGGATGTTTGCCATTAGTACAGTTTAGTTTTAGCTTTAGATTAAGTTTGGAGGAGAATGGCTTGGATACCAGAGGAAGGAAAGATGAATAGGTGTTTTATAAAATAATCTAAATTCTTTTCTCCTCAGATTAAAAGTTGAGTGATTATCTCATTTCTGTGAAATGTATTCACTGAAATCATTCCTTTATGGAACAGGTTTTCCCAAAGAGATTAAATAAAGCATACCGAGTAGATTATATGAAGGAGACTTTCCTGGCAATATTTTGATTGGGACTTTTTTGATAGCAGATGCCTAACTCAAACCACTCTTGTATTATTTTGGCCAAAGGGGCCATTTAATTGAGGAAGTTTCATTTTAAACTCATGAAATAATAGAATCACTGAAGTATAAGTCTTATAGGCTGAGTACTAAATCTTTACTCACCTGCTTACAGCCATGATATCTTTACAGGTGTTATGAAGCGGAGATTGAGGAGATAGATGAAGAAAATGGCACCGCTGCAATCACCTTTGCTGGTTATGGCAATGCTGAAGTGACTCCACTGTTGAACCTCAAGCCTGTGGAAGAAGGAAGGAAGGCAAAGGAGGACAGTGGCAACAAACCCATGTCAAAGTAAGTGACTGATCATAGCATTCTAGGTGTTCCCTGTATGGGTACTTGATGTAGTCTGCAAAAGGAATCTGTACAGGCTGTATTGAGGTGAGAAGGTTATAATACCATATGAAGATTAGTGACAGAGGGTCAGTATTGTCTGTCTATGTATGCCTAGGTAAAGTGAAGATGCTTTGGTTCCTCCTTGGTATTCTATAAATTACAAGTTCTATGTACCAAGAACATCTTACTACATTTTTATGTAGTGGTCTACACCACAGTGGAGACCAACCTGGGCTTTGTTCTTACTGAGTTTATGTCCAAAGAAGAGAACAAATAATCAAAGAAGTGCTTTAGGACTGGATATGTAGCTCATTGGTATAGTGCTTCCCTGTCATGTTCAGAGTCCTGGGTTTAATCTCCAGCACTGGGGAGGAGGGAAAAAAAGTATAGAAGTTATGAAAGGATATAACAGGTACTTTAAGGGAACAAAGAAGAGGTACCGAAACTGTACTGATAGGGCAGTTTCCTAGAGAAACTGACATCTAAACTGAGATTTGAAAAGAGGAGTTGTAAGTAAACTAGAAGGCAGGTTATGACATATATAGTACAACAGTTTAATGCTTGTTTTTGTCTGCACAGAAAAGAAATGATTGCCCAGCAGCGTGAATATAAAAAGAAGAAAGCTTTGAAAAAAGCACAGAGAATAAAAGAACTTGAGCAGGAAAGAGAGGATCAGAAGGTGAAATGGCAACAATTCAACAACAGAGCTTATTCTAAAAATAAAAAAGGCCAGGTTGGTAAATCTTTTCTGGGAAAATATAACTGTCATTAAAATGACTTGAAAATGGAAAAGGAGATGCACAGATTTTCAAAACTATGTGATTAACTAGCTCTTGACTTAGAATCCTTGTCAGGTCTTAATTTGGCTTGTTTAAAATACCTCTTTTAGCTACTCTCTAATAAAAATACTACAAATGATAGTTTGCAAAATTTGAAACATTATTGCAAAGAATTGCAAAATTTGAAACATTTGGTACCTTACATACCATTTAGAGGCAGTGTGTTAATGTGCTTTTATGCTGGCATCACTGGTAGGTTTTATTTAAAGGCGCCTTCATGTTTCCTTAATTTACTTTTTTTTTCCTAAGGGTGTTGGGCAGAAGGTAACTATACCATTAATATATGTTCAGAGTAAGGATAACGTGGCATTCATCCATATCTTGATTTTTTTATTGCTATCAAGATAGCTCCTCCACTGGACATGGCTTATGAGAAGTAGTGCTTTCTTTTCATAAACTTGTTTATGATTAACAAAGGGCAGGGGACTATACCAGGTACTTTATACCAGGTCCCATCCTAAATTAATACAACCCATTCTAGTCATGCCAAAATGGGAGAACACATGCCTTATATTGGGATTTGAGACTGCAAAGCTACAATTTTGAGGCAACTGAAGGCAAGCTTAATGAGTGCCAGTAGTACAGAGTGATGTCCCCACAGCTTATAGGTTAGAGTGAGTGGCACCAGAAGAGGGGTATTTTTGACACTAGGCAAACAAGCAGTGTGCTTTCCTTTTTTAAAAAAAACTTGAAACTGGAATATATTTTAACATTACTTAAAATTTGAAATTTACATTTTCTCCCTCACTAATTAGGAATGGTCTTGTTTTCTTTCCCCTAGGTAAAGAGGAGTATTTTTGCTTCACCTGAAAGTGTAACCGGCAAAGTGGGAGTAGGAACTTGTGGAATTGCTGATAAACCCATGACGCAATATCAAGATACCTCTAAATACAATGTCAGGCATTTGATGCCTCAGTAATCAGAAAAACTGTTGGATTTCGTCTCTGCAGGGCTTTACATTTACCTTTTTATCCTTATATTTTTCTAAAGGTAAATTATTTGTTAGATGAGTAAGGAGGATACCATTGTCATTGTTTGACTTCAATAGAATGAAACTTGAAGAAATTGCATTTGATAACTGCTATTCATTTAACTTTTCATTACTACTACCACAGTACCTTCAGACTTTGTTGAATAAGAAAACTTTTCTAGATGGATGCTGCTTAAATCAGCACTTAGATGAATTATTGATCTTCCTAATAGACCCCCAGTTAACTGATGGAATATACATTTTTAAGTTATAACTTGGAGTTTTCAGAAGCTTTGAACTTGACACATACTCTAGCATTTCATTGGAACATGAAGGCAAACACCAAGCTTGCTAAATAGATTTTTTCCATTTTTTTTTTTATCTTCAAGGTTTAAACCTAATAAGCCTAAATACAGGCTAATATGTAAATGGCAAAAGTTGAGGCTTGTTTGGCCACCTCTGCAATTGATCCAGCTCTTTTCTTTTTATTCATTGCGTTTTAGTTTTATCTAAGAAACCATCAGCTCCCTAACGTGTTTTTTGTTTGGTGTTTTGTGGTTTGTGTTTTGTTTTTGTGTTTTTCCTTTTGTTGATTTTTCACTTATGGTAGTGGTACCATTTTTTTGAAAGTGTAATGTTTATATGGGAAAACAAAAAGCTGATGTATAGCCCTGTATACAGTGTAGATACTATTTTTGTAAAAAAAGAAAAAAAGGCTAAATTAATGAACAAGAGTACTGAATATTTCATCATTAAAAACTTGTATTTCTTGTGCATTAATCTGACCATAATTTCCCTGTATATTATGTTTATGTAGCTGAGTTTGTAATTTTTATTAACTAGATCAAGTTGCCAGCATTTGTTGGTGTGAGTATCACAGTTATCCCAAGTTGAGTTTAAGCCAAATACATGCATATAGAAAGGTCTTCCTGTTAATGGAAGATGATGACTTTTAGGATGTGTGTTAATTTCAGTTTTGTATGTTTAACTTTTATTAAATAAAGTGTTTTAAAAAATCTCCAGGGTGTGTTAACAAAAGGGCGAAGTCTATAGCTGCCAGCTTTATAATGAATAATCCTCACACTTGCATATAGAATTGCTGTGGAAGAGGATATTGAGTATGTGAGAAAGATTCCAATAAATCCTTAAGTATTTCTTCCATTAGGCCTAACCATTGGGACCTTAAAGGATCAGTTTTACTTTAAGGGCTTATGCTGTGTGTAGGGGTGTTGTACATTTTTTATTTTACATTTTCTTGTTTGTTTTTTGGTAAATCAAAAGTTTTAGAAAGACAGTGATAAGTAGACTATTTTTTCCCTTCCCTCTTCACACACCCTCTTCCCAGCCCAGGAGGTCACAGTTTTTCCTTGTAAACATGTAAGACAAAAAACACAAATGAGAATAGAAAATGGGCTACTTGGACTAGGGATGTAGCAGTGCCAGAGTACTTGCCTAGCATGTACAAGGTCCTGGGTTCAATCCTCAGGTGTGTGTGTGTGTGAAGGGGGTCTACTTAAGGCCTGAAAACTTGTAAGTAAAATGTTTTAAATGTACTAATTACACTAATATTTCTCTTGTTACCATTGTAACATACTTTGGTCTTTTTGAGACAGGGTTTCACTATGTATGTAACCCAGGCTGGCCTTGAACTTGAAACGATGAGAGCCTCCTGCTTTGGCCTTGCAAGTGCTGGGATAACAGGTGTGCACCATCATGCCCAGCTTTTTTAACAAACATTACTTTGACAACCCTGGAGTTTGAACTCAGGATCTCACACTTGCTAAGTAGGTGCTTTCACGCTTTAGCCACTCCACCAGCCCAACAAACATCTTAAGAGAATACTAATAACCAATAGTAGCCTTGAAGGACTGCAAGAGAATCTTTGAAGGAACATAGCAAGAAATTTGGTATAACTGACTCCAGAAAATGGTTTTTGTTGAGATTACTTTGGAATAGTAGTTTACCTGGTGTTTGTTTAGGCAGGACTGTTATAACCAAGACCATTCCTCCTTTGACCAATGGCTTTTTCGCTTTTTTTTAGTGTTGACTGGAATTTAAACTCTTGAACTCAGGGCCTCATGATTGCTCAGCAGGTGCATGACCACTTGAGCCATGCTCCCAGTGGGCCTTCCTTTTTGTATGTATACTGGGAAAGCTTTGTAGTAAAAGAAAAAGAATGAAAAAGATCACACTATAACAAACCTTTGTTTTGAAAACTGGAGATGCAGAGCCCTTGTGTCAAAGATCTACTTACATGTGGCTCTTTGGAAAATACTAATCCTGGTCAGGGTGTCTCTGGATTAAACTGAAAGTTAGGACTCTTGGGGAGATGACTACCTGTCAGTTTGATGTTGAAGTTGAAAAGATGCTTAATGAGAAGCATGGTAGCAGTAGGAACCTGGCCCTTACAAAGTTTTATAAGATTTATTATAGATTCTCCTATGTCAAAGAAGGAGACTTAGGGCTGGGAAATGGCTTAAGTGGTAGAGTGCCTGTCTTGTACACTCATAAGGCCTCAAGTCCAAATCCCAGTACTGCCAACATCATAATGTGACTTGAAACTAAAACTGGCAAACTAAAAGTTTGATTTGTAATTCCTAAGTAGGAATGGTTGCATGTATCTTCTCAAAGCTTGATGTTTGACTTCGTTATTGACTATTTGAAAGAACGAACAGTTCTAACTTCTAAAAATTATTGGCCAAAAATTTAAATTTTAATAGTAATCACAGATACATACTGGAAGAGTAAGGACTCAGAACTAGATTGCTCTTTGAATCCTGGCTCCCCATTTATTAGCTATTGTGTATAATTCCTCTGCCTCATTTTCTCAGCTGAAGAATAGAAATTAACTGTTTCCTCAAGGTTTTAAGGATTGAGTTATATTTGTGAAGAGAGTATCAAGCATATGGTAAGCACTAGAGGACCGTTTGCCATTTACTAAATAGTGTCTGATCTTTTCTCCTTAATTTGAATAGCAGTTCACATTATAATAGGTAATATGTACTGCTTATGTTTGAAGCCCCCAATTATAACTATTACTGAAATAATTGCCAAATTATCAAAGAAGATATATTAAGAAACCAACCACTAGTGGCTCACCACTATAATCCTAGCTACTCAGGAGGCAGAGATCAGGAGGATCGTGGTTTGAAGCCAGCCCAGGCAAATAGTTTGTGAGACCTATTTAAAAAAAAAAAAAAAAAAAACCCATCACAAAAAAGGGCTGGTGGAGTGAGTGGCTGAAGATGTAGGCCCTGAGTTCAAATTCCAGTACCACCAAAAAAAAACCCTAAGTAAATTCTAATAAATTTTTAATTTTCATACTAGGGTGTATTTCTTAATGGGAAATAGGTGAAGGTTATATAAAAAATTACCCCTATTGCTTAATTTTTTTTTTTTTTTTAGGAGGCATGGCCTCATGCTTGCTAAGCAGGTGCTCTTACCCATAAGCCATTCTGCCGTCCCCCTAATGCTTACTTAAAGAGGAATCCTGGGTCTGGGTTCTGTCCCACCAGACTTAGACAGGCTAAGTAAGGTATGTCTTTGACAAACACCATAGGGGATTCATACATCCTTAGCTGAGAATCATTGCATTGGGTTAAATGTAAAAGTTTGATTTTTTTACATGAAGATAAATTATCTTTAGTGGCAGTTTTATTAACATCAACACAAAAATGCATCAGTTGAATTATTCAACGTTTTTTGTTTTGTTTAAACTCTTGTTTTTGTTACAAGGTGTGTGTGTGTGTGTCTGAATTTCCAGCATGAAGTGGGTTTACTGCTGAGTGTTGCTTTGAAAATAGCAAAGGGTATCATGAGTAACATGAAAATTGATTTTGTGTGTGATGTGTGCATGCATGTCTGTAGATTGTAATTTTATAATTAGACCCTTTATAAGGTGAAAAATGCCAGTTATAAATCCAGCCAAAAATATATTTAAAACTTTGATTTGGCTGTTAGCCTAACCTGTGTATCAATTAAGATACAAAAGAAGGAAGAAAGTCTATTTAAACCAGTAAGTTTTTACCTGTGTTAAAAATTCTTAGAGGGTTCAAGAAATACTTGCCGAATTGTATTATTAGTATTATACTATGAAGCAGTCAATATAAATAGTAATTTACAAATTCGACAGTAAATGTAAACATTCTTTATATCTAGGGTTTTTGAGTTGCAAGCTAAACTGAATTTTTACTGCAGTGGAGAGGAAGAGCAGAGCAGGCAAAAATAACAGGTAATTCCATAGTTTAAACAAAAAAACCTCAAGTAATTGATTTTCTTTATCCTATTTTTTTTAAAGCATATACGGTAGACACTTGGTATCCATGGGTATGTGGATCCAAGGAGCCTGCTGTTGAGGAGAAACGGTGAATGCTCAGGATGCCTAGAGTTCAGTGCTGCACTGCAGATGCTGGATTCATTTTCCCAGAATACTTATCCAACTTACCCAACTTCCATTATGGACCTGTCGCCTTTCAACAGATCTAAAATTTTCACTTTATCGCTTAAAACACAATGTGCCCTTTTCAGTTTGGAAAGACTACCATAAATTTTTACCTTGCTTTTTGGGCATCGTTTCTTTTTGTGAGGCAGATTTTCACAAAATTAAGTTCAGGGAACCAGATCACGCAGCAATTTAAACAGCTGACAATAATGCAGGATTGAGAGCTGCTCCATATCAGCTAAGCTGCAATGAGCATAGGAATTTAAAATTTCCTTTTTGAAATTTTTAAATCTCTTCACTGCATTTGGTCAAAACTGCATGTAATTTGCAAATTCAGTGAGCTTTATTTGTAATATACCTATTTGTATAGCTATATTCTTAAGAGGTTCGGAAACTATTATAGACATTCTAAGAATTTGTTTTGGCTTTGCCAAAAATAACTAGCAAAAGATGCAAGATGTTTCATTTCTGTGAGGTCTTTAGTTGTCTTTTCAGCTTATGTATTAAGGTGGTTCTTTTGAGGCCTTGAATGGGATAAAGCAGTTCTGAGAATTAACAGATCTGTAGTAATCGATAACTTGGACTAACTGAAAATACCAAATTTTAGGTATTTATTTATCTTTTAGTTCCTGTGCCGTAGTTTACTTGTACTATGCACCCTATCAGTTCAGTTTGGTCTACCCAGTGTAGACTGAGGAAAGGTTGGCTTTTTGTTTTAAGAGCTACTCTCAACTTGGGACTCAAACTCATGTTATTATTTTGCTGGCTCAATTTCCCTTTCTTGATGAAACTGATACCCTTTTGTTTTTTTCCCCTTTCAAGCCCTGTATTTACTTTAGCAAGATGCAGTGTGAATTTCTGACCCGAGAAACAAAGAATTCAGGCTTGGAGGAAACACTTCACTCCATATCCCGGGAACACTAGAATTGAAGCCCAAGATCTGCAGCTAGGCTAGTCTTTAATAGATCGTAATTGTCCAATTGTTCATTGCTCAGAAGTAGCAGGAAGGAGGAGTAAGTATATCCCTTTGGTTCTTTGTTTGTTCCTCCAAAAGTGCTGTCAGGTTTAGCTGACCTAGCTTTCAGATTAAGTGTGATGAAACACTTTAGAAACAACTGACCTCTTAAATTTATATTTTAATATAGATCTTAGAAATATCTTATGGCTTTTGTTATATTTTTACAGTGCTATTCTGTGCTCTGGTGTGAACATCTAAAAATATCCTAACCACTGCCCAACCAATAAACATGTTTAATCATTCCCCATGACAAAGCCTACAGAATTGAGGGAATAGAAAAAAATTCCAAAATTACAGTGTTAGTTGGCAGTATTTTAAAAGCATTTAAAAAAATATTTAAAGCTTTTTTCAAATTAAAATTCTGAAGAAAGGTAAAACAACCAAGTGCAATTATCAGCCAGTACATGTCTTTTGAACGAATCAGGGCTGTGTACAATACTTGCCAAGCTTGTGAAGGCTCTCAGGGTCTGAAGCTGAAGGTGTGGCTCCAGTGATAGAGCACTTGCTTAGCAAGCACAAAGCCCGGAGTTCAAACCCCAGTACTGTCATTAAACGGGGGGTGGGGGGGTGGGGAAGAGGGGAAGCATTTTTCAGTTGCAGTGGTTCATATCTGTAATCCCAGCTACTTAAGAGATGGAAATTGGGAAGATTGTGGTTCAACGGCAGCCTGGGCAAAAAGTTAGCAATACCTCCATTTCAGTAAAGCCTGGCATGGTGGCATGTGTCTGAACCTAGCTACGAGGGAGGTGATACATAAAGCAAAAACATCCTTCCTTAAGAAACAAGTAAAAAAGGGCTAAAGGGTATGGCTCAAGTGGTAGTGATGGTTTAGCAAGCACAAGACCCTGAGTTTAAACCCAAGTACTGTCAAGAAACAAACAAAAAAAAGATGTCCATAAGAAAACCAGTTCTCCTATTAGAGCTGGGCCAAGAAGATGGCAGGCTTTTTTTTTCTTGGCAGAGTTAGCACTGAATAATAACTAGGACACATAATTATCATGCAGTGGATATTATCAGTGTATGATGTGCTTAGCCTCAGGTTAGGCCTTTAAGAAAGATCAGATAATCACTAAAACTAATAGTACATTTATCTTATAAAACCCTGATTTAAAAATATATAGGAATATCCAAATGTGAGCCAAGTGTGGTGAGGTAGCTTGTAATCCCAGCTTCTTGGGAGGCATGGGCAGATGGACTGCTTGAGCTCATAATGAGTCCCGGGAACCTAGTGAACACCTATCTAAAAAACAAAGCAAACAAAAAAAATTACCAAGTATTACCTGCCATGGAATTTTGTTAATATGAACCTACATCCAAGAAGTAGTCTTTTTTTTTTTTTTTTTGGTCAACCCTATTGTCAAAACTAAAATTCAAAACTAAGGATGGAGGAATTAGAGGTTGCATTCATCAGAAAGTATATACCTCCTAATTTCTACTTAGTACCCTAGATTTTTGTGGGTAGAGTGATTTACACGTTTCAACTTAAATCCTTACATTTCAAGATGGGAGTGGTGTTTATAGCCAACTCTTCAGGAAGAAACAGCCTCCACAGAGAAATTAATTTGTCCAGTGTCTACCGTATGTTGCAAGGCAGTTATGCTTACCATCATACCACCAATGCATTCTCCGTTGTATACTGGGATTAAAATGTGATGCCTTTGCTTTTCCTACATTATATATATTTATATATATATATTTTTTTTTGGAGAGGGGAGGTTGAACTCAGGGCTTTGTACTTACAACGCAGGCACTCTACCACTTCAGTCACACCTCCAACCCTTTGTGGAAATGGGGTCCCGCAAACTTTTTGTCCAGGCTGGCCTGGAACTGTGATCTTCCTGATCTCAGCCTCCCAAGTAGTTGTGATTACAGGAATGAGTCACTGCCACCAGCCATTATGCTGTTTGTGGTAGGTGTGTTGAGGATCCAACCATGATTTGTGTTTGGGGTTTTTTAAGGTGATAGGATAATAAAAGGCAGGGAAAAGGCAGTGGCTTCAAGTGAAAGAGAAACTCACAAAAAAAATTCCCAAAAAGCTAAATTCATCAGAAGATACGCACCAGGAAACATTGAGGCCTTGGGTTTGGAGCTTTACCTCAATTTTTTTTTTTTTTTTTTTCCAGCACTGGGGTTTGAACACAGGGCCTCACACTTGGTAGGCAGGTGCTTTTACTACTTGAGCCACTCTGCCAGTTCTTTTTTGTGATGCAATTTCTCAAGATAGGGTCTCCAACCATTTGCCCGGGTTGGCTTCAAAATGTAATTCTCCTGATCTCTGCCTCCAGAGTAGCTAGGGTTATAGGTGTGAGCCACCAACACCTGGCCTCTCACTGCCTTTTAAAATTCCTTCATAATTCAGAAAGCAGGCATTGTCATGGGACTTGAAAAAGCATTTTCCATGGGAGTTCTCACCCTGTGCTAACCAGAAACAGTCACAGTGACTTCATGAGAATCCTTTGGTAATACGCTGGTATAGGATTTGCCTGTCTTTTAATACAAGTTTCACTCCTAGGCCTTTTACTGGAATATTCTAAATAAGGTTAATGGGAACTTCCAGACTTATTTTCAGTTTGCATAACAGAGTAGCCAAAGACATTCTCTTAAAAAGTTAAGAGAACAGTTAATAATAATGACAGATGTGTCCTACCTGAAGCTATTAATGTATTGTCAGATATGTTAAACTACATGTTGTAGATGGGTTATCTGGTATTAGTAGGATAGGCACCTATTTAAATCTTAGAACAAGAACAGAAATTATAATTAAAATTGCCATTAATCCTGAACTTCTGTTGTAATAATAGACATTTAGGAGATAACTGCCTAAAGATATGGATACTCACATATTTTCTACCTTTATGGAGAAGGGTGTTAAAAAATAACTCGGTGTTCTTTATTCACAGTTTTTATTTCTTGCAGTTAATTTGTGTCTTCAAAGTCAATATGTCTTTTAAAAAATTAATATTTCTTACTTATCATACAATCTACCCATGCCCACTCCCCACCCCCTCAAGAAAAACCCAGGGAAGTAGTTTGGGGGCAGTTGAAATACGCACTATAGGTTTGTAACAAAGGCTTCCCAGCTCATCATTCTATACATACACAACAAAACGACAGCATCTCAAATTTGAATGATGTCCCAAACACTAGCCCTATGCCATTGATGCCAGTGAATGCCATGGGAACAACAAAAATGGAGCCTTAGTCACTGGCTTCCATTGATTTCTTATGGTAGTCGGCATACTCTTTCAACTGTCTCACTTGGGAAAGTCAAAAGTCAGCAATATAGAACAACATCTTACCTGGCCAATAATAATTAAAAATGAAACCAGAAATAATTTACCTGGGCCACAAATGTTTTGTCATGTTTTTCATTAAAAGTCCCCAGCACCTGAAGTGTAGCAAGTTCTAATGCTGGGTTTCTAAAGGCATGCAGTTTTTCATACATCTACTTCAAACACTTTCTTCCACTCAAACAGCACAATGAAGGAAAAAGTATTTTTGGAGGCATAGGAAGAGCACAAGAACAAGTGAGTATATAGCTCTGCTGAGACCTTACGAATGATCAAGATGGTACACTTCACATATAGAAGCAGTGAATGCTATTAAAGTGCTACTCACAGAAGGATAGTCTTAACATTAACACACAACTCAACTGCACTGCTAAATATGGTTGTTTTTATTTTCTTTTTCCTTGCCCAGCCCTATCTAAACATAAAATAAAACTACAGGACTGAAATTAACAACCCATTAAAATCAGCAATAAGTTATGAAAATCATAAAGCTTTTTTTTTTTTAAAGTAATTTAGGGCAGTTAAATTATTTAAAGTATACAAAGTCCAAACAGCCAGGGGTAAGGTCTCCAGGAAGGCTTCCCAGGGTAAGGAGAGAACCAGAGCTTAGAGTTTGAAAGACAAAGAGGGTATACATGACATCAAAGTGCAGGCTAGAAATTTCACTTAGAAGAAAATAACATTTCTGAAAATATAAGAGCAACAATAGCACCTGCACAGTGGGATTGTGAGGAAGGAGAGAGACTGCCTGTAGAAAATGGAAGCAAATCTTTACATTAAAATGAGACAAGTGCTGAACTTAACTATGTTAACTATGATAGTGTGTCTACAATGGGTATCAGATGGTTAAAAGCTGGTAAAAGGTAATGATTCTAAAAGAAAACAAAAACAGCATTGACCTTTTTTCCTACCTAGCCCAGACCTCATTTGTGCACTATAAAGAGTGAGGTGTTTTATCATTATCAAATGCTGCATCAAAATAGATGATTTTTTCCATGTGTTTTTCCACTATAAAAGACATCTATGTTTACTTATGGACAAGCTTTTAAAAAGATGTCATTTTGGTTTTCAACACATATAAACAGTTATCAAAATCTCAAATAAAAATGCTGCCGTGGCTCAGACCTTGGCCTGTTCATCTGCGTGTACAGCTCTTCGGACCCACGCAGACACAGAGGCACGTGGAGCTTTTTCCTTCTGGCTCCCTGATCCATACTCACAGGCCTTATGATAGAGGCTGTCATGCCTGGACTGCCCCCATGCGGCCTAAGGGTAGCGGGCTGGTGAGCTGGCGGCTTGGGTGCCCTAGTGCTAACAATGCAGGTTATGGTTAGCTTGCTTAGCATGGAATCCAACAGAAAGCTGAGCTGCATGATGATCTCTTTCAAAAGGCTTCACGGGAGTCTCTCCTTTTGTAGAGCATGAAATGATTTTGTTTTAAAAAATATTGATCATCCACAGGCTTCATGATAAACTGTCCCAGGCTGAGTTTTAATAGCTCTTTAGCTATGCAAGATTAATGCCTGATTATCTTGTCTTTTCCTTACTACAGGTTTGATTTTTGTTTCTAGGGCCATAAAGCTCAGGAAGGGTTCAGAACCCCATCCTTGAATGCGTCTACTCAATATAGTATGAGCAAACTAGGAAGAAGAGGATGGAATCTCCACTGTCCTCTTTTAAATCAACTAAATCAACCCAAAAGAATTTCACACAAGTTTTCTGCTGTCATTAGAAACTGATTTTTTCCAATATGAATAGTTTATTTGTTCTGGGGAGGCTCTACTCCACTTTTTGCTAAGTATTTGCTTAAATACAGGTCTTTTGACCCTTTTTCTTCAAGTATAGTTTTGTTTAGTTTTAAAGAGGAGACTGCATCATGAACCCAGTTTAAGAGATTGTATTGAATTGGCCCAGTGAATATTTGCCCTGCACTGCTATGTCATGCTGGGTTCTAGGAAGTGAAGGAAAGTTTGACACTGGCACTGGAGTAACCCTCGTCACTCCCAATACTCTGCAGGCTGCTGTGGTCATCAATGTCACTGATGCTGGTGGTACTTATATTGTCCACTTCTCCATGGGAGAACTCTGTGCTTTC